CTGTATTTTTATCAGACTGTATTGTTCATTAGATGTTATTTCTTATATATCAAAGAGTAATGGTCGTGAAACACAAATTCCAACCAACTTCAGCATTTGTGGGTATTCCAGCAGTCTGCTGCAGTAGAAATAAATCAGATTTTTGTCAGCTAAGGAGAAAAAAGTCCTTTGCTTTACATTCCTTTTCCCTAAAATTTGTTTTCATCCTGTTCATAAGCAGGCTGATAAAGGAACATGACCTTTTTTTTCCTGAATAAATCGACAACATAAAAATCTCTTTGTCCTTACAGTATGTATATTACTAGGATGTTATGGAAGATGCTCCAGTATTACATCTTGGTGACAAATCCATAAAAAAGTAAAGCAGTGGGATTTTGAAGGGGTGTGCGTGTAGGCTTTGTGGAGTTTTGTTTGTGTTTTAATTTGTTTGTTTGTTTGCTTTTGAATTCTGATATATTTAACATTACAAACAGTGTGTAGTTTGGGAAGCTTGAATGAAAACTCTGTTGTTCCTTTGAATTTCAGAAATCTCACCAGGGGGATTGCTGAAAGGAATTACTTGGCTTTCATAAAATGCCTTTCCCCTCTGAAGCCAAACCCTGCACACAAAAAACAGACTTAATGACCAGATAAAAATTATTATGTGAAGACCCAGCATAGGTTTTCACTGCAAAGGCCATGCTGAACATTATCATCTGCACTGAGCCTGCTACAAAGCAGTTCTGTTCAAGGCAGAATATTCAATTCTTTAAAACACATATAGTAAGAATATAGAGTTTCTATATACTTGATTTAAGTATAAACTAAAACTTAGTTTGGAAACATATCCTCATTCTGGAGTGTGTCTGTACTCTGTTTTATGCCTCCATCAAGAAAAGTCATAATATTAACTGAGGGAACCATCTCTTATAATCTTTTATATATTATGCCTTACCAAAGGTCTTATGCTTTTTTATTTTTGTTTGTTTTACAGTATTCAAGTACAGATATGCTGGAGATTCTTGTATCAACAAGGATCTTTGTTACACAGAGACAGGAATGTGAATCTCTAAGCCCAACACATAAAACCAATCCACCAGTAAGCAAGTCAACTTTAAGAGAATGCCCTTCTGAATTATAAAAGCTGTGCAGAAAAAAAAATACAACAGAAAAAGAAGGTTCCTGAGGCGTTGAACGTCATTTTTACAGGCTCATTTACTGTATCAATTCAAATGCAAGAGAAGCCATTCAGCTGTGCTAGTAACTCTTACTCTGTGTAAGGCTGTACAGTGACAGTCCCAGGAAATTAAGCAGGGCAACAGAAGAGCAATATTAGATGGCATGGCCATGTATGGTCTCATCAATATATCAATAGGTTTAGTCATGCTTTTTGTCATCAGAGAGTAAACCACCATTTCAGCATTAAATGGCTGTCAGTTTTGCTTTGCAAGTTTATCCTTTGCCATTGCATAGGAAAGATCTCTGAGCAACTTTGCAGCACTTGGCTTATTTATCAAAACTCAGAAGTCCTATAAAGAGACTAGGAAAATTCGAACTGAAAACACCAAAATTTGTTGAAGTAATATTCTTTTGTCAAAAATTATTTATAAGTGCTTCCTGAAAATGTCATTGTATGCTGAATGTGCATAAATTTACCTAAATAACATACCCTTGGAGATGCATGCACCTTAAAGCCTCAATTTCATATTTTAAGAAGTAATCTTTGCATCATAGAAACTAGAGCTGGGAGTGATGTGTGAGATGATATTCTCCACTTCACTCCACTGTAAATGCAAGTCTGTTTCCTGAAGAATATTAAGTATTTTGGCTTGTCTATTTTACATGACTGTAACTGGGCTTCAAGTCCATTGGGAGGCTGGGGTATAGCACAATTATTAATTGTATTTCCTTAACACTCACCCTAAAATTTCTATTTCCTAAAGGCATTCTGCTATTTCTAGTTATACTATTTTGGATGTACCTACCATTCTTGTATCCTAATCAGTTCTTCCCTGTCCTTCACTTTGCATAATTTTAAATACAGAGTCATCACGTTCTCCCTTGTCTCTTGGGTTTTCTTGTAGCCAAGAATGATAATTTTCTTAATTTTTCCTCCAAACCCAGTTCTTCTGACATGCAAATAGTTTTTGCCTTGTTCAAAAACATCTCTTAACTGTTTAAAAGTTTGTGAGATCTACAAAAACAAGACAAAATTTCAAGGCCTTGTAGAGGCTTTATTTCTTTTCTTGTTTGCAGTGTGTGCACTTAAGAGTTTGCAATGCAGGGATATTGCAATGGAGGGATTCCTACTACAGACTCAAGTTTTTACTTACTCTGATCCTAAAATTCACCAATACATGGAAATACTATAACATCGAAAATACTGTTCAGCCATCTTCAAGCTTTTATTTGATATTATTGCTTTCTGGGTCTTTCCTGACCATTTCCTAGTTCAATGTCATACTTTTTCTGTATTAGTATTTTCCCTTTTTTTAGAATGCATTTAAACTTCTCATTCTATTGACTTACTCGTCAGTGTGCTGAACACCATAACCATTGAAACCAATCATAAGCTTAATTTTCAGGTGGGCTGAAGGGAACAGCAGTCTTCCAGCTCAAGTCTTGAAGGTTGCTTATATTTCTCACCCCAATGATTATAACACCTTTTTGATTTTTGTATTCAGTGTTTGTTTAACTCCAGTACTCTTTTATTTCAGTTTGTGACAAAGTGGAATTCTAAGCTGAACAAGAGTCCAAGACATATAATAGGATTCTTCTTTCCAAGCAGGAAATTTTTCTTCAGTTTTGTTTGCTGTTCTTGATTTTTTTGCTTCTACTTGTGTCAGAACCACTAAAAGGGGAGAAATGTATAAATAATGTAAAACAATATAAAATTTGGCAAAACCCTCCTTCTGCTCTTACCACATTTCTGTTCAAAATTCTGTTCTATTCAGCTAGATGAAGATTCTCTGCAGATTTGTATTTTCTCTCAAGTGATATGCTGGTTTAATCAAATGCCTGTTTTCTGGTTGCAAGAATAGAACTGTGATCCTCTTTTCTTCAGTCTAAGTTCAATTGTTTTATTGCTCATCTTGAATAAATGGCTCCTGGCTAAAATCTTGACTTTCTCCTTGCCTGAGATACTGGTACTGTTTATAAGTATTTGACTAAGATATATTGTGCCTATCTGTGCCTAATGAAGCACTAACCAGACTAAATGATGAATGGCAGTTTAATCAATTCACTTCGTTTGGTAACCAGCAGAAGCATATGGAACATACATTTTAACCTCTCTTTTATACAAAAATTTGACCAGAACTGTGCTTTCCAAAATTTTCTTCCGCTTCTCTATGCCAATGAGAAGCTTTGCTTAATGAATCTATGTTCTGGATTGTAGAATTAGAAAATGGTGATGTGTATTTAATTTTCTTCTTCAAAAATTTGACTATCAACCTTCATTGTCCTGGAATGTAACATTGTTTCATTATTGGGTATTTTTCAAAGCCTGAGAGATGAGTAAAGCACAGGCTAGTCACTGATACTTTTAGTTAAGTGGTATCTATAAGTACTCAGCTGCCGTCTTAATGAAAATATGAAATCTGTTTTCATTAAGTTTATTCTAGAACCAGTTCCTCACCAATATATGCACACAAATCCTAAAATTAAATGCTGCTTTCTGAATGCATCATCATGATGCATAAGCAATGAAAAGGTATGTAATTACTACATTCCAAATAATTTACTTCCAAAACCAAAGTTAAATTAGAGGTTATTGCTGGGATTTTTCTGACACAAAAACAAAACTCTCCGTTTTAGAGGGAGGTGGTGCTGTAGTTAGTGTTGCAAATTCTTAGTTCATTTCGGTATATGTTTTGGGCATTTAAACATGTTATTACTTTGAGTGCAGAGTGTTTTTGTGTGGTTGCTTACACAGACATGGTTGTACAGCATATGTGGGTGTTTGCATATGAAAGTTGTAGAAAAATGTATGCAGAAAAATGTAATTGAAGAAGTTGAAGTATATCATCAAATTCTGCATCCTGTTGATAGCCAGGAGGGATGTTTTCTCTTTAAACGATTTTTGCTGAGGGAACAAGCAACCCTTGAGCTGTTTTCATCTAGAAAAGATACAAGTGCAAGTTTGTAATTTGTTTTCCTTTAGAGATGCAGGAGTTTACAGGTCATCTGGAAGTTGAGATAGAGTCACAGAAGCTTTTCTCAACCTTTGAGAATGCATTCTTTGTGCTGTAGTTAGTGTGCCTCAGATATTTTTAGTGTCTGATTTCCCAGTACTTCTGCCACTGGGTTAACTCAGTGGGATGAGGGGGGCTCCTGTGAGGTATACATTGTGTAGGAAACCAAGGACAGGAGCTGTAAAGGAGGTGGCTGTCACGGGGAGAGGAGGGAGCCCGTGGCTTCTCAGCCCATGGCAGGACCTCAGCTGGAGCTTCTGGGGAATGGGGTCAGCAGCTATGGGCTTTGAGCTTCTTTCATTTATGCTGGAAGAGGAGAGAAGAAAGTCCAAGCAAGTACTTCCCCCAAGTTAGCAGCATGTGGGCAGTAGCTAAGTTCAGTGGCTGTGAGCAGCCACATGCCCTTTTCCTTTTTACTCACCTTTTCCCAGATTCTCCTCCTGTGCTAAGTGTGCTTCCACATTATCTGTCTGTCCCCATTCAGCTTATCCCAAGGATGCTCTCTCACTGCCATTCCCACATCTCCAGAGTTTCTTTGGGAGCGTGACTGTTCTGCTTGGGAAGCACCAATGCAGAAATCAGCAGCTGTGTCTTTATTGGTCTCAACACCCACCAACCATATTCCTGCTACCTCTGCACCTTTCTTCAAACACCTGACAATGTTCATTTGTATACACTGGTTTTAGCAAATGCACATGCCTGTCCTTCCACATGGCATCAATTTAAAAGAAAATTAAACACTAGTAAAGGATATAAAAGCATTGTTGTTGGCTTTTTGGTCTATAAGAAATCTTTCTAACCTTGTCTTTATTTTTTTTCCTTCTGTAGGGGAGTGGGTTGTATCTTTGTAGAAATGATTCAAGGGGTCGCTGCTTTTCCAGGAATGAAAGACATTCAAGATCAACTTGAAAGGATATTTCTGGTGAGTTCTTTATTGCTGAAGTAAGACAACAAAGGATCAGTTGATAAATGCTCACATATTTCTTTGTGTTAGGAATTAGTGTTAGGAGTTAAATTACTGATAGAGGGAAGGGTCAGAAGCCCAGTCCACAAGCTAGATAGAGTTACTTGGTAGATTTTCTGTAGAAAGTTCTGTTTCTAATTTTTTTCACCTAATTTTTTCTATTTTAAAACAATTTATGCATTTTCTAAATGTAAGGCAATGGAAATTCAGCCTGTTCATCATCCTCACTTTGTAGAGAACAGCTCTGGATGGCCTTATTAATATACTATTAATATTGTAGTGTTAAATCCGATTTTTTTTGTTATATAGATATATAAAGAAAAAGTAAGATAGGAAGTGAGGTGAAAAACAGAATAGGAATTCTGAAATCATGCTTAGATTCAACAGAGGTTCTTGACTCCTGCTTCTGCAGCCTGGTTAGGGCCTTCATGTGGGTTGCTTAAAGGCACTGATGACACATCTGCATTGGGAGTGAAAGAAAAGGTAATTTGTCTCAAACATAATGATAATTTATGCATTTTTCTACCCAGGGTTGTGGTTTTCAAGTTTTGTTTGTTTGCTTAGGATTTTATTTTCATTTGCTCTTTCTTCTGTTGTGCTCTGAGTTTGGCAGTTTCCTTACAAAAGGTTCAGGAGCATCTTTTCTTGACTCCCAGTCAAGGTTTATATCGACTCTGATGCCTCCTGGGAGCTGTGCTGTGTGGAGAGGTTTGTTCAGGGCAGGCACTGCTCACCCAGATGAGCCAGAGTGGCTGCTGGTACTGCTGGGTGGGCATCAGGGAAAGCAGGAGCAGTGTCTGACCCTAATGTGTCAATATCTGGATTGTTCTGACCATGAATTCAGAAGGGAAACATGAGCATACCCTTGCTTTCAGATGTTATTTTGTGAGTAGTCATTTCTTTCAAATGCAGCATATTTATTTGGTATTCTTTTTTGGTCCATAGGGAGAGGAAGAAAGTCTTTCATAATATATTTTAAAAATTTACATTCTTTACATTATTCAGACTTGCTTGCACTAGATCTCTTTTTTTGGGACACCAGGGAATTTAGCAAATGCATTTAGGAATGGTTCATAAAAATATCTCTCTAAAACAAGGCCTTACTTGATTGTGATATAAATATAACTAATTTTCTATAAAATATTTGGTTTTTCTGCCCTGTTGGCTAATACCCTGAAAATTCTGTGCTGTGAAAGAATAGCTGTGCTGCAACACAGACTAGGAGCAGCAGTTCTGAGCAGTTCCTGTGATGTGTCTCATTGCTTTGTTTGTTTGCCAGCTTGTGTATTTTAAGCTAGAAACTTCTGAGCCAGTTTCCGGCTTTTGCTTTTTCAACTTATTATGCTTTTCATTTATTAATTTGAAATTTTCCCCTTATTTATAGAACATGAAATTTTGAAAGAATGACTTCCTCTTTGGGACTGGGTCTCATTCATTGCAGTAAAATCTTATTGACTGTTTTTGCTGTTGAAATTAAGGGCACTTGTAGCAGCAGAAATCAGGTGCTTCCTTTAGCAGGGCCTTGTTTGCAATTTATTATATGAGATTGTAAGGTATAGTGCAAAAAGTGATAGTGATAGGTATATCATATAAATCTATTTTTGCATGCCTTCTGTAAACATTTTTGTATACTTCTGTTTTTTTCTCTATCCTCACTATTTGCATGTTAAAATGCCAAGATAAATGCAATCTAGGATAAGTTTTGAGACCTGCCAATTATTTTAAATTTTGTTTTTAAACTGCAGTTGCAAATACTGAGAACAGTGTTGAAATAACAAGGTATAATTTATTGATTTTTTAAATTTTATTTTTATCTTTTGCAAACCATATCAAATAAATAGATAAATTTTTGGTCTGGGTGTTTTATGGTCCATTGCAAATCAGAGTTAATTTTAAATCTCAATTAATTAGGCTTTCTAATGGTAGTGTCTAGTTACCATTAGCTAAATAGTTTCAGTGAGTGCCTTCCTAATGTACTTTAAGCATCATTAAGGCTTTAAGTTATCTATTTAAAAGTTATAAACCAGAGGATTATTCTTGTTTGGTTTTGTATTTGAACAGAGGGATTAAATTCATTAATTCTCCAGTGAATCACATATAGTAGGGTAGTTAATGGCACTGAAGGACAAAATGAATCAGGTTGTTTTACCAGATAACTGATATGATTAACTCCCACACAGTGAGCACTTACACGGCTGTGAAAGAAGCAGATCAGCCAAAAAAAGACTTTTGCAGAAAGAGCTCCCACAGTTCATGTTTTCAGCACCCACCAATGACAGTTTTCTTAAAACAGAGGGTTCTCTTCTGAAAATGGTGGAAGGTACAGCCCACCTTCACTGTGCTCCAGTAATCCCTTTGTTCACACCTTGTACACAACTTGCAACAAAAAGGAACATTAATCCTTGTCATGTCTGTTGCTGTTGTTTACTCATAGCTACATGTCCTTAAGTGTGAAAGGAGCCAGGTTGCAGCTCTTAGGGAATTTGGTACATTGTAGTAGGAAACTGGAAAAATGTAAGAAATAGTAGCCAAGAAAAGTGAATAAAATCTAACATGAATAACGGTTCAAAAGTCTTAAATGACTGTTTGATTTCCTATTGTTTAGTTGCCATTATTATGTAAATGAAATTAAAGTGCATTTTATGCACATTGTTTTAGCAATTATCGAGTTGAAGTCAGAGATTCACTAAATGTTTTTGTGTATCTCTACTGATGGCCTTCTTCACATATCTACATAGCAAAAATAGATGCAACACAACACACCACATATGTTTCTTCCTCATTATGAATGATGTTTATTTACATTTCATAACAGCTTAATTAAGTGATTGTGTATAGTAGATTAAGAACAGTGGTTGATCTTTCAGTTTTGTTTAAGGACTTTCCTCTTTAAGCTTGTCTCTCCTGACTTCTATTGATTCAATTTGTGGGTTTTAAAATGGTAATATACACTGATTCTCTATTTCTGTTACAACAGCTGTTTTTAATAAGTGTACTCAGGTTCTATTACAACCACAAGCCTCAATAAAATAGCAAGGGCTCATACACAGGATCTGTTCTCAGAATCAGACCAGCACTTGGAGATGTTGATGAATAAGCAGCTGCAAGTTGTTATTATCATACTTTGGATCAGATCATATGAATTCGTTTTTTCTGCCTAAAATTAAAAGTGTTGATAAGCTCTTTTAAGAAAACTCTGCTTACCAAATGAAATGGGAATCACACGTTGCTTTTTCAAAGAGGTTTAACAGTGAATAAAGTGCCTTAATGCAGAGGTATTTTGGTTTAATCAGTATACTATTACATTTTTGCTCCTGCTTTTTTCCTGCATGTTGAAACTTGGGTTACTTTCTGGATAGAAATGCATCATAGAAAATAAGAAAGTGTAGTATCATAGAATTAACTCATAAGGTCATTAAGGTTGAATCTAACCTTTGACTGAACACCACCTTGTCAACTAACCGATAGCACTGAATGCCATGCCCAGTCATTTCCTGAACCCTTCCAGGGATGGTAATTCCACCACGTCCCTGGAGAGCCAATTTCAATGCTTGACTGTCGTTTCAGTGAAGAAATTCTTCCTGGTGTCCAGCCTGAACCTCCCTGGGAGCAACTTGAGGCCATTTCCTTTTGCTCTGTCACTGATTTTTGTAATTATAGCCTGTAAGTGCTAACAAGTCTCTTGCCTCAAAATGTTTAACTAATGGGGAGTCATCATTGTTTCCAGCAAACTTTTTTCTTTTCCATTCTCTGAGACAGGAAGCAGAGATTTTTGTTTCAAGGTGCTAAATCTGATGGACTGAAGACATGAAGTGGTAATCTTAGCATTTCTTTTTAGTCTTGAAATATGTGCACAAGACAGGATAAAAATTTGATCAAGTGCATATTGAACAGTAAAACCATGAGAATAGGAAAAATATGTGAGGCAATCTGTTGAATCAAAATAAAATCACACAAAATTGGGAAATATGATTTGGCTTCTGATAAGGAGTAGCTAAGATCTTTATCAGTAGTTTATTCTCATTGATCATTTATTAGTATACATATCTCTATATGCAAACTTTGAGGTTTTCAGATCAAGGAGAATGTGCCATTGTAAATATAAAATTTAATTATGTCTAGAAGTTCAAGCTGCACGAAATGCCTTCAAGCTAGCCCTGTACCATGGAAAATTGACAGCTCCTTGGGTCTGGTGATGATCAGTATGAATTAGTTGAGTGTTAAAGCTGATTACACTGAGCAGCCTTCAGTATGCTTGTGCATGCCACACTGGAGATAGCATCTTGGTTACAGCTCTGAATTTTATGTGTGCTTTTATACTTACTGTTCTTAACAGATTCAAAACAGATCAGCGTTGAATCTCTCGTGTTAGCTAAATTTTTCTTCTGCAGAGATATTTTTTTTAAGTGGGAAGGTATTTCTGTCTTTTCCATTTTATGTGAGCTTTCTGAGAGCCACAATTGATCAAAGTGAATTTTCCTCCCAGGCTCTAAAGCCTTCCTGATAAGGGAATAATCTGTGCATTGCCTGAACTTTAGCCCTGGTGCCAACTACACTGCAAATTAGATTTCACTGCAAGAATAATGTACAAAGAGTTCTCCTGGTACTTTGTAGCTCTCTGCACAGGCAGGACAATGGCATTTAAATGCTGGTTTGTCTGAAAATGGGCATTCTCTCTGCAAACATGGTTGCAGGAAGCCTGTGCACCACAGGAGCATCAAACTGCAGGTAGGGTGTCACAGCAGGAGTGGGAAATGGCAGCCAGAAGCTTCTGTCTTTTCTGACACACATATTGAACAAGCTGAGGACTACTCTCTGATACTGGATGCTATTGCTCTGTTGGGTACCATAATACACAGTATTAAAAAGTAATTAAAAGAGAACAATATGCATTGAGCCCAGCAGCCTGATCTGCCAAAGGGCAGTACCAGAAACTGCAGCTTTCCACATGGAGCTGT